TAATTTAAACTCATAATCTTTAAATTGATATTTTACCTAAAGTATTGGTGCAAAACAGTAGCCAACTGATATATATTCAACTTTAGCAGAGGATAATGCAATAGAATTATGTTTTTTATAACTATGAGAAGTATATAATTTGCCAAAAATAAGCATGCTTCACTAGTGATTTTTTGATCAATACTATATCCAAAAAAGGACAAATCATAGTATCCTAAAATATTAAAATTTTTATTTTTGGGATACCATACACCTAAGAAATCTGCGCTGATTAAATGTCTAAAACTTCTTGTGACAGCTATAAGGTGTGATTCTCTTGGATTAGTTTAATCTCTACATACATATACTAAATAAAATATCAAGTCTATAATAGTTAAATATAATACTGATCCAATGATTCATCTAGATAAATTCTACTTACTTATTTTCCTTTCTCATTAGAGTTCAACTAATAATTTAGTCCCATAAGAGTTCTCTTGAACTTCAAATCTTTTACTTTGTATTTTTCAAATAGCTCTCTTTTATACTTGTCTTGAGAAATTTTTTATTATCTAATTATTTAATTTGTAAGCCAATAAATAAATAAATTTATTTATCTCATCATAGTCATTTCAAATTCCTTCCTTATTAATGAGAATTCATAGCATAATACTTCATCACTTGATCTAAATATAAAATCACCAACATACATTTGCAGAATAAAAATATCATTTTCTTTATATTATAAATAAAGTTGTGTCCACATTTCCTCTCTTGAAATAATTTTCTAATGGAAAATAACTTAATTTTTGATATCAAGTTAGTAAAGCCTGCTGTAAGCTATATAATACTTTCTTGCATTTATATATATCGTTGAAATGATCTAAATTTTCAAAAATTGGGGTTTTCAGCATAAACTTGTTCCTTAATTAATTGATTACGAAAATCACTCTTAACATTCATTTTATATAATTTAAAATTATTAGCACAGGAAAATGCAAGTAAAATATTAATAGCATCAATTCTAGACAATGGTACATAAATTTCTTCAAAATTAATCCCTTAGTTTTTAACACAACCTTTTGTAACCTATTTTTATTTATTTTTACATAAAATTTATCCAATCAACACCTATAGGTGCATCATCTATGTTTTTATGTTTAAGTTTCAATGTAAATTAATATGGATATTTTACTTGAGACCTAATGTTGTTCTAACCCTACCATTTTAAGTTCCTACGACAATTTTTTCTAGGTGATTCTTCACATATTTCTATGTTTTAGGTGGAACATCATTTCAGGATTTGAATCTAAGTGTGGCAAATCTTTAGTTTTGTCATCATTTTTTTTATAATAAATTTCCTCATTTATCTCATCCTGATTTGGAATTATCAAACTATGAGTTCTTGTATTAATTTTACCTTTCTTCCATTCATTGACTTGAATGAGGAACCATGATCGATCTCCAGTCAAGTGCCTTGAACACATATTTTCCAAGTACTACTGTGAAGTGGTCTACTGACGATCTCCCTGAAAAGATAATTAAAGTTTAGTTAGTGGACTTAAATTTCTTTGGTTTTATCTATACCAGCCTTAGATACCCAAATATAGTGTGTGATAGGTATGGCTTCATTTCTAAGATGAGTTATGATTGACCTTGAATTAAATCCTAATATTTCTTATCTAAGTGATAGTTTTTAACTCCAAAGTAACATATCTAATGCTTTCTAACTGCCACATAATTTATCATATAATGGTTTTAGATCAAAAAAATTCTTTTATAACTTAAGATCCTTTTTATTCAACTATTTTAGTTCAGAATTAATATATTTTTTTTCTTTCTTAAGTTTATATTTTTCAAGACTTATTTCAGCAATTATATTTTCATGTATAGTACAACTCATGTCTGAATCAAATAAGTTTATTTTGGATATTTTACTCATTTTTTTATGACTTTTTTCTGATTTTTTCTATAGTCAATGAACCTACATTATGCCATTCATCAGTGATAGTGGACAATGATATTTTTTTAAGATATTTTTCCTCAAATTCCTTATCAAGTACATCTATAAAATTTTCATTTTGCTCTCTTAATCTCTCAACTATAACTTTCTGGTATTCATTTAATTTTCAGACTTTGGTTGGATTCTTCAAGTCTTTGGTTTTCTCTTAATGTAAAAATTAGTTCATGCCTAGGATTTCTGAAAGTATTTGGTAGTCCTTTATGGCCATCATGTAAATTTTTCTTAGATAAAGACGACATGCTAGAGTTATATACCTCAGTAGACATAAATTTTCTTTTTCTTTTTCTTTTTCTTCATTAGTGGTTTTTCTTTTGCTTCATTAGCGCTTTTTCTTATCTCTTGATCTTTGTTTTTCATCAAAAAAAGATCAACTTGAAATGGCCTGGTTTCTTACACTCAAAGCTAAGATCATCAGATTTTTCAGAGAATTTTTTTATACCTTTTTTGGTCATGAAGTTTCTCTTCTTCTTTATTAACTTAATTCAGTTTTCTAAATAGACATGCAATCTCATCTTCATCATCATATTATTCAACATATTTAAAAGCAATGTCTTTAGTTTTCTTTTGTGAAATGTTTCATTTTTGGACATGATAATTTCGTGAGTCAATAATGATCTAATAATATCATCAACATAAATAATTTTCAAATCTTTCAATTTCTCAATTAGTGCCACTTAGCACACTATTCATTAGTTAATGGTCTAACTAAATTATGATTTAACTTACCATTAGTAAAAGTTTTTCCCAAGTTTCTTGTGTCATTTTATTTCATCTAATCTGTGAACAAGATTTTAAGTTGACTCACCATCTTCCACTTAAAATAATTCATATCTATTTACCAATATGTCAATATTTATGTCTTTCACTTGAAAGGTTCCTTCATATGTTAATTGCGTCTCATAATACGATGTCTTATATTTATTTTACTTTCTCACAACTTTATAGATACATTCATAGTACTAAATAAAACATTCATTGTCTTCAGGTTTAAACTCATTATTTGCCTATTCATTGACTTTTGATGTACCTTGTGGTTCATTTTGTATCATTTTTCATACTGTCATCCTTTTAACCATCTTATATATCTTAACTTTAGTTTTCTACAAAAAAAAATTAGTTCCATCAAACATAGGTGGTCAAGGGTTGGATGATTCAGTTGTCTCACTAGCCATTGGGATCTACTCCTTGAAGTATGTTAATATCTTTCTATTAAAGTTTTCTTTGATATCCAATATTAGAACTATACTGTTAGATTAATCTCCAAGGGGAATGAATTGGGTTTCTACCTCTTTTAACTAATTTTTATTTCCACCTATCATTTATGTAGGTATCACTATGTGTGCTTACATGTGTGTGCTCACAGTTCGCTCTTATCCAGAACAGTAAAGATTTTTATGTTGGGTGACCCCTCAATCAATTACAATTTGTCCTAGAGAAATCCTCCTACTAGTATGCCACTATTTTTCTCAAGAAATATTGGCTGATGTCCACAGTCACAGCCACCCAAGCTCTCAAGCTTGTCTCCTCAAGGGCCTGATAGAGAACTTTCTCTTGAATTAGATGTTGGTCACTTATTCAAAATCTGATAGAGATTAAGATGATATTTTCTAGATTGTCATTATTTTTTGCAGTAGAAACAACTCAATCTTCATGTAGTCCATTTAGTTTAAAATTTGAATTGGAACTTTCTTCATTGACAGGAACAACGTTTCTATTAATATTTGATCAATATCATCACATTTCAATTTCAATTTTCTTCACACAAGCCACTGATGTGTCATCGTGGAGATGCTGAGTTCAAGACTTATTCATGGCTTTTATTTCTCTTAACTCCTTTGACGAGTCATCGACAAGAGAATACATAAAAATATCTATATTCATTTAAGAGGGCTATGAGACACTAAACATTAGGCTTAGATTAAATACAGAAATAAAAATAATATCATGATCACAACCTGCCCATACCCATTTAACAGTATATGTATCTTTTCATCAAATGCTCATCCTTCACCTCATATTGATCGATGATCAAATGTTCTTAACATGAAGAATTTTTTCATCTCAAGTATTGACAACTTAGATTCAATTTTTAGTAATATGATCATGGAATCATAAGTATAATCCAAATTGTAATTTTATAGACACATTGAGTATTTGATATAGATTCATAAAATATATCAATAACATTCAAGATTCAATGAATAAATTTTTGTTTGTAATATCAAAACCAAGGGTATCAAAAAGACCAACATCATGAATTTTGACTTTTCTTTAAATGTGAGTAAATGTCACCTCACTGTTTTTCTTTCTCCTACGGTGTTCTTGAGGGATTGCTATGCAAACCATAAGGCCAGGTCAATGCAGGAAAGGAAGATATTAGAAAAATTAATGGCAACATTTAGGAGAGACAATGAGAGAGAGAAAGGAAAGAGAGAGCAACTAATCGGGTCATCATATGTCGACTTCAGAGCAACAAATGCCTAAGAATTATCTTCGAGCTGTTTATGTCACCATGAGAGTGAGTGAGAGATTTAGAGAAAGGCTATACCTAGTTCTTTATAGAGATGTGAGACTTCTCTTTGACTATGAGTCAACGGCAATATACCCAGTTCACCCCTTCCGCCGTGTTCTGGTGGAAACGGTACGCGGATCATCGACCCTGCAGCTCAAATCAAGGCAGAGGACGACGGGAACCTGTACAAGAGTCCACGGTCAAAGTTTGTCGGCTCCCGCCGTCCGAGAAAAGGAAGCCTGCGCAGACCTGGAAAATCTGAATGAGCCCCGTTCACTTGCCTGTTAGTGCCCATAAATGACTTGGACAGCATTGCGGTGACGTCGTTGCGCATTAAGGAGGGCCTGAATGGAGTCTCCACCGCCATTGGGAAGGCGGAAGCCCTCGACACCACGGTCTTCTATAGCAGGAACACGTTCGCTAATCTATTTAAAAGCAAGAACTGGTTTATCTTTTTCCTCCACACCGGCCACAATCTCCAAGGCCATGGGGATTCTTCTCTACAGCCTTCATGTTCTTCTCGTCAGTGTTCTTCCCTTCTCCAATGCGCACAGGAGGGAGAGACTCAGTCTTGGGGACTCGCTCTCCATCGACAGGGAAGGCGACGAACTGGTCTCCCCCAACGGAACCTTCGCCGCCGGCTTCATCCAGGTCGGTGAAAACGCTTACTGCTTCTCCATCTGGTACGCCCGCCGCCCCGGAAAAAAGACGGTCGTATGGATGGCGAACAGAGACAAACCAGTCACGACTACCGTCTCCGAGATTCATCTCAACAAATACGGCACTCTCGTTCTGATCAGCGGTGGCGAAGGCAAGGTATGGGAGACGAACACCGCATTCAGGAGGGATGTGAAGGAGCTGGAGCTGCTAGAGACGGGAAACCTGGTTCTCACGAACGGAAATGGGGAATTTGTGTGGCAGAGCTTCGCCTCACCCACCGACACACTCCTCCCCGGTCAACAGCTCACAAGGAACACCGTCCTGGTATCTAAGAGAGACGCCGGAAACTATCTGTCGGGTTCCTATAGCTTCAAATTCAACGACGATAATGTGGTCTACCTCATCTACAGTGGCCCCGAAGTCTCTAGCGTCTACTTTCCGCTGCAGGATTCAGCGGTATACGCCCAAGGAAGAACCAACTTCAACAGCACTAGGTTGGCAGCGATGGACGACATGGGAACTTTCTCTTCCAGCGACTTGTTCCACTTCAACTCGTCGGACTACGGGAGAGGGCCGCACCGCCGCCTGACGCTGGACCATGACGGTCTCCTCCGGGTGTACAGCATGAAAGAGCCTAACTGGGAGTGGAAGGTCGTCTGGTTCCTTGATATTGGGGTCTGTAGGGTTCACGGTATGTGCGGAAGCTACGGCATCTGCATCTACGCGCCGGAGCCGACGTGCACGTGTCCGCCGGGATTCAGCCGAGAAGACCCGTCGGACTGGTCTAAAGGTTGCGTGCCACCGTTTAATCTGACGTTCGATCAGGCAAGCATCGACTTCCTAAAATTTCCCCGGACGGATTATTACGGCTACGACCTCGATACGTTTAGTAAAAACGTGTCTTTGGAAAATTGCACAGAGACCTGCCGGAAAGATCACAGGTGCAAAGGCTTTGGATTCAAATACCGTACGTGTTATCCCAAGTTCGTTCTCCTCAACGGCCGAAGGACGCCGAATGAACCAAACACCATCTACATAAAGGTTCCGACGGCTATGGCTGGAAAGGAAGGTGAAGGCTTGGCGCTGATTCAATCCAGCATAAACGGCTCCGGCAGGATTATTAATACTTCCAGCGGGAAACCACCCTCGGGCGTCGTCAAAAACCTTTATTTGAGGTACTTGGTTGGATTCGTAGGAACTCTCGGCGCAATGGAGGTTGTCATCATCGTCCTGGGTTGGTGTTTCATCAGAAGGATTAACCGTAGTACGGAACCAGTGAAGAAAGGATACAGGTTGCATCAGGTGATGGGCTTCCGGAGATTCACCTATACAGAGCTGAAGAAGGCGACGACCAATTTCAGCGAGGAAATCGGCAGGGGAGGCTTCGGGCAGGTCTACAGAGGCCTGTTGGAAGACGGCAAGACGACGGTGGCCATTAAGAGGCTCGAAGGGGTCACCCAAGGGGAGGCCGAGTTCTGGGCTGAAGTCGCCGTCGTCGGGAGGATCAACCACATGAACCTGGTGAGAGTGTTGGGGTTCTGCGCTGAGGGCAAGTATCGCCTCCTGGTTTACGAGTACCTGCAGAACAGATCCCTTGACAAGCTCCTCTTCTCCTCCGATGCCACTAACGTGTTGGATTGGGAGAAGAGGTACTCCATCGCAGTGGGGACGGCGATGGGCCTCGCGTACCTGCACGAGGAATGCCTGGAGTGGGTCCTCCACTGCGACGTGAAACCTCAAAACATCCTTCTGGACGAGCACTTCCGACCAAAGCTGGCCGACTTTGGAATGTCCAAATTCTCAGAGACGGGGGCCGGCGGAGGAGACGCTTGCCGGGGTAAGTTCGAGGTATCCAGAGCGAGGGGCACAAGAGGGTACATGGCCCCAGAGTGGATAGTCAACCAGGAGATCACGGCCAAGGCGGACGTGTACAGCTTCGGCGTGGTTATGCTGGAGCTGGTGACGGGGAGAAGCGCATCCGGTGTCCACGGGGGGAAGTGGAACCAGCTGGTCCGGTGCGTAGAGGAAAAGGTGGAAGAGCGGCAGCACGAGGGAGGAACGATGGAAGAGTTGGTCGACAAGAGGCTTCAGGGGGACTACGACATGGCTCAGGTAGAGTTGCTCCTGAGGGTCGCTTTACTATGCGTGAAGATCAGCAAGGACGAGCGGCCAGCGATGAGTGCCGTGGTTGGCCTTCTCCTTGGCGACGATGAGCCCAAGAACCTTTCTTCCCCGGCCAGCCCTCTAGTAAACTGGGCGATTGATCGCAGCTAAACAGTCTATTGATTACCTCGTTTCGCCTTTAACTGGTATTCTTCAAGGTTCAGCTTGATGGAATTCTGTATTTTTGCCGGCTCTGGTGGAGATGATGACCTTCTCATTGCCTGTGTTGAGTAATGGTTGCTTTTCTGTCTTGCTGAGCGTTGAAGCTATTTGCAAGTCCCTCTACCCTCACTTGGTTTGGGATGATGTCCCCCTTTTTATATAGTTACTGTTGGGGAGCTTGACAGTCAGTTGCAATAACTATTAACAGCTGGAAATCAAACGGTTTTGTTGCAAATGAAACATTAAATAATATAAAAATAAAATAAAATGTTTCTTCAAATTTCTTTGAGCTGTTTCTTGCATCCGCTGTGTTTGAAATAGGTTTTGAAAATAATTTGATTGAAAACTCTTTGAAAAATTAGGAATTAGGTTTAATCACTTCCTCTTTACTTCACGGTCATTTGTTAATTAGATTCTCAGGCCGCAATTTACATGACTGAGTTGATTTCACAGTAGTCATCAAAACATCTCAATAATTCACCATCGTAAATAGAGTAAGCTTGCAATAGGTTGATTTGAATTGTATGCGCTGTTGAGTTTTAAAAATTTGAAGTATATTATGTTAAAATTTAATGTATTTAATCCATGACTGACAACAATATTTGGGACTCTATGTGAAAGGGAACATTTCAAATACTGTCCAAAGTAAACTAGGCATTATGAGTTTGAAGGCTTAACACTAGTACAAAGATAATCTCTTTAAAGTATAAAAATTAAAAGATTTAATCTAAAATCAATTAAACATTTCGAGATTAGAGATTACATAATTTAGGTTGATTAAACTTTTCAATGTTGAAAATAGAAAATTCAGGATTACATAATCTCTTTCTTCAACTTTTATTTAAATAATGACTACATGTTGCTGCCACTAACTTTTTCTGTCTTCCTACCATACCCAAAAAGCATATGAACAAATAAAATATTTTCAAGGTGTATTTCAATCCTCAATTTTGAGTTGAACTAATTTGACCCTTTCAACTATGCATATTAAATGAAGGCTTGAAATTCAGTCGCTCTCACATGCTATAAATCAAAAAATTAGGCCACGACATAAAATTTAAATTCTGTTTAATTACTAGTTTCATACTTCTCAAGATTTGGTCAAACTAGATCTGAGTCTGAGAACATAATGTGAGTTGGATTATTTGATTTATGTTATGTGAGTCAGATCCCTTAGATTCATCTAATCCACATTAGGACAACTTCTGACTATACTTGCATTAGCTTGCCTCTAAACAACTAAAGTTTTGGGTCTCAGTTTCTCTACATTCAATACAGACCGTTGTGATCTGGATTATATCAAATAAAGAATTTTTAAAATTATTATACCGAATAGAAAAGCTCGTTTGTATTGTAATGTACGGATGTACGTATAAATCTATTATCGCCCATCGATGTCTGATCATTTATGATGGACCACGTTCATAAGTATCAGATTTGTGAGTTTAATTTTGTATTAGCAACCATGAGTTTAACGCCATGGGAATGAATTAAAATTGAATAATTATTAGGAAAGCATTAATATTGGCTGAAAAATGGCATAAACTGAGTGTTCCCTCTCCTGCCGGCTGCTGTCTCGGCTTAAGGAACACGGCGATGACCACGCAGGCGCCAATTGTCCCTCTACCAGTCATGGTTGGAACCGGTAAAGAGAAGAGAGGGGGCAGCATTTAATGCAACAGAACTTGCTGCATTGCTTTGTCCGCCCGGCGGATCGCGCCGCGGACACCAAGCGAGAGTTTAGATTTCCACTCGACGGATCGCTGCCGCCTGACTCTGAAACACGACGCCCTCCACAGGACATGCAGCTTTGACGAGTCAAACGGTGCGTTGGCAGTCATCTGGTTCCTCGACTTTAGGGCCTTGAATGTCGCTCTTGTTAATTTTAGGCAAAAACATACGCTTTCATTGTGCAATGAAGTCCATCGAAAGTTTATGAGTATCTGGAACTGTCCAACAAAAAACGAAACTCTGTGAAATGCGATTCATGTCACTAGGTTGTCGGACGCAGACAAGTTTTCCGTTGAAGGTTCATCTCCGGGAGGGGCTACAACAGACCTATAACAGCAAGTATATACGACCCCGACTTATTCAAGGCCCATTCTTTGCGCTGGCATCAGGCCCGACTTCAGATGCGAGGGGAGTTTCTCTGAGAGAAGATGTCTATCAATGTGATTATTAACTGGATGTATAGGGTTGTTTAACCCATCAGGCGGGAGAACATTGCGAAGACTCGCAGTCTGGCGAGAGGCCACCGAGAAGAAGCCCCACGACACCGCTCATGGCCGGTCTCTCATCCTTATTTGCCATAACGCACTGCCGGGCGACCCTCAACACGAGCTGCGCCTGCTCCTCGTGGTAGTTACCTTTGAGCCTCTCGTTGACCAGCTTCTCCATCTCACATCCCCCCTGCATCTTCCGGTGTTGTCACTCCCCCTCCGAGACGCCGGTCGCGCTCTTCCCGGCGACCAGTTCCGGCAGAACAACGCCGAAGCTATATACGTCCGCCTTGGCTGTGATCTCCTGGTTCACCATCCACTCCAGGGCCATTGTATGATGCGGAAGAAAAAGGTGTAGAATATTAAATATGAACTACGGCAGAAAATATACTAAAGATTAAACGAACAAACGGATAAATCTCGATATATCTAGATAAGACACCCGCAATTGATAACCGAGTAGAATCCAGCTGTCTGAGAAAACCGCTTATAGGATACCCTGATTTTAGCACGTCAGAAAATCTTCCTTTCACGGGTTAATGATCAACCAAATAAGATTAATCTGGCTAACCTATGATCACTCAAGCAACAGAGGATCAAGATAATATATTGAATGCACAAATAATGGAGAAGTAAAAGAGTTTACTATATCGTGGAAGGCCGTCGATTCGCAGGTGATATTGCGGGATAATCAGTACATTATTTGGTGGCGACAGTCGCGGAGAGGCTGGGGATGGCCCAACCTGCTGTGATCTCGAACCGAGGTCTCGTGGGTTAGTGGACAGTGGTCTATAAGATATGGACGAAAAAAGGTTTTGGACTTCGTGTGATAAGTGGATAGGTGTGCGGAGAGAGGAAAAGGTGATAAGGGAATAGAATAAGAGTAGGGTTAGTATGCAAGGGCGACGATAGTTGACGGCAGAAGAAAAAAGAAATGTGGACAATGGTAGCGGGCAGTAAGGGCGGAGAAAGGCGGTCTCGTCTGTGACTAAGGTGAGGGCTAGCTTATGTGACAGGGCGGAGAGGGTGAGTCGCGGAAAAAGAGAAGGGAGCGAAGGAGGGGGAAGCTCCAGACCGGGAGCAGCTTGGTCCTCGCGACCAACCCAAGCCGGGGCGACGAGGGTTGCGCTGAAACCGTCCATCCTGAGATGACGCCAGGTCACTACCTTTTTCCTCGCTGTGCTGTTCTGTCGTCAGATGGTTTTGTTGAGAGCATTGATCTCGAGCAATGTCCTGACTCTTTCCTTCGTTTTCCTCTCATTCCCCTCGCCCTGGACACCTTGCACTTCCCACGGCGACGCCCCTCTTTGTGAGTTTGGACATTCCGAAATTGCCAGCTTGAGCATTATCGGGAGTTTGAACCAAGCTCCCACGGTCTAGAAGTATGTTCTGGGGATTCACGTCACAGTGCAGGACCCACTCCAGACACTCATCGTGCAGGTAGGCGAGGCTCATAGCCATCCCCAGCCCAACGGCGTACCTCTCTTCTCCCAGTCCAACACCTTGACTGGGTCCGAGGCGAAAAGGAGCTTGTCAAGTGATCCGTTCTCCAGGTACTCGTAGATCAGGAGGCGATGCTTATCCTCGGTGCAGAAACCCCACACTCTCACCAGGTTCATGTGGTTGATCCTCCCGATAATGCTCACATCCGCCCGGAACTCGTTCTCCCCTTGGGTGAAACCTTCGAGCCTTTTTACTGAAGAATCTGCGTTACGATTCTTCCAGAAACACTCAAGAAACCTTCAAGAAGAGTGTAGAAAAAATGCACACAATTTGATTCAAGGAAAAAAAAACTAAACGATTGTGTTCTCCGCAGGTCATTATAAAGGACCAGATCGGAATACCGTGCGAGAGATGCCGTTTAGGCAGTTACTCGCATGACAACTGCCACCGTGACGGTTCGCTTGACAACTGCCTCCATGACGGCATCTCGACCGTTATAATCACACATAAACGGTCGTGATTAAAAGACGGAAGGAGGAGAAAGAAAAACAACAGATATTTGCGACGTTTCAACAAACGCTCCATTCAAAGGCTGATTCGGCATGCTTAACTCCAACATTTACAGCCACCGGCGTCTTGCCATCTTTCAGCAGGTCTCTATAGACCGATCCGAGGCCTCCCCTGTCGATTTCGTCGCTGAAGTTCCTCGTCATCGCCTTGAGTTCTGTGTAGGTGAACCGCCGGAATCCGACTGCCAGTTGGCCTCTGTGGCCCATCTCCGCTGGACCTAGGCTCCGGTGGATCCTCCAGGTGAACCTCCAACCCAGGATTACCATGATTGCCTCCACTGCGCCGAGAGCCCCGACAAATCCGACCAAGTATCTCATGTAGGGGGTCTTGGCACTGTCCCAAGGGAGTTTCCCAATGGAAATAGGGACCAATCGGTTTGAGCATGCCAATGCCGACTGTATCAGTGCCCCACCATCTCCTTCCCTGACGTCCATTGATGCTGGGACCTTGATGTAGGTCGACATTGGGTTGTTCGGCGCCCCACGGCCATGGAGAAGAGCGTACTTGGAGAAACAAGTCTTCCTCCTGAAGCCAAAACCCTGACAACTAGAATCTCTCCGGCAAGCCATTCTACAACTACTATATGGACTCTTATCACGGACTCAGCGGCCCATATATGGGCTGAATGGGTCACGAGGTGGAACGGTGCAGGCGGAAGAAGGGAAAATCATTTGGCATGTTTCCCGAGGTTTGTTGGCACTATTTGAGAGAGAGCTTCCAAGAAAGATTTCTTTGATTAAGGATTTATTTTGAGATCTTGGAAGGTCAAGATCAAAGATTTGTTCCTTAGGTTTTTGAGAAGTGATTCTTTTATACTACTTTTTGTATTTGGTTGATGAACTCGAATTGGAGGTTAAATTTATTATCGTGATGTAACTAAGTTTATGCAAATAATATAAAAGCTCACTCTTCTATTTAGGATAAGTAAAGGTCGATCCTCAAAGAGCATGGGTAATAAGAGTATGAATTATACTTATTTTATTTCTTATCTATATATATATACGTGAGATTGTGAAGTGTGGAATTAAATGTAAAAGAGTGAAGACAAGAGTTATGAAAAGCATGACAAAGGAGAGAGAATGAATCTAACACAATAGAATGATGGAATAAATAATAAAACTAATTCAAATTAAAAGTTAATCTATCTATGGAGATAATTATAAGGATGCCCCAAATCTAGATTTTACAAAAACTTTGTTGTGCACCAACCCTAAGCCAAGTGATGCTTGATCAGTGACAATCTTGATGTGCTCCAAATAATCTCTTTTCCATGATGATCTTAGGTATGAGAATATCATTAATCGGGCCTTGATTTTCTTCTTATTTCCTTCAGCTAGCCACTACTACAGAGAGAGCCAAAAAGCACTCTCTAAGAGGGGGACGAGATGTCTTAATTTTCTTGAGAATTAAGTCCCTCCAATGGACGGTTATGATTAATAACTGACTCTCTAGGTAAACGGCTCAGATCATTCCATGAAAGTAGTGCTCTAGTCCTTTTCTTAGTCTCATCTTAAGGTGCCCTAAGATGGGTGGCCTAGATCTCATCTCTTGATAGCCCTTTTAAGTTCAAATGAGCTAAGCTAAAGTGATGCTTTCTCTTGGGCCCATAAACATATTAATTTGGTCATTTCCATAAGACTTGGGTTTTTTATTGGGCTGAAGGTTTGGGCTTCTTTTATTACTTCCAACTCATAATAAAAGCTCACTTGAGTCTTTACAATTAAATAGTTATCAAGAAAATATGAGAGAATTATCACTTGACTTCATAAAAGTCAAGTAGGGTTAGTCTTATAATATAAATAAAATAAATAAGATATGTATTAGGACTTAAATGATAAAATATTATGAATGTCATAATGAGTCAGTAGCACATATATAACTGTATTATTTATTCATTAATTAGCATCTATATATAAGATATTAAAGCACATATACAACTACTAATTTATAATTATCAAATATCCTCCACTTTACTCATTGCTACTCCCTTAATATTTTTTTTAAGTTCTCCTTAGATTGTCCTTTCACTTTTCAGTCTTAAAATATGAAGATGAGAAGTGTTCAAAATATTGATCACACCTCTTCATATGATCACAACTTATGGAAGTCCAGATTCTATTATTTTGGTCAACCTCTTAGGAGTTTTTGGAAAGAACCACGAGCAATAAAGGGGAATGACATATCTCTAGATATGATACTATATGCATGAAAAGATTCTGACCTTTCAATGATGTATGTAATCCTAACCCCTTCTAAATAGATATCAATGATGTGTTTAAGAATCTTCTTTAACTTTTCTTTTTTTTAAGGAAATCAATGTAAAAACATCTCCTCTTTGTGGTACAGAATGAAAGTGGATAAAAAAAATGTGATACAAGAAAGGTAGGATGAATAGAGGCAATGGAGAAACAATACACTAACAAGGTAGGTCATGGGCTGAAGGGTATGATTGAATGTAGTGGCAATGATAGGTTATGTAATCAATGGCTAAGTTTCACTTATGACAGTTATGCTCCCAAATCAAGATGCTTGGATCAAAAAAGTTACATAGTGTCATTTGAGAATATGGAATAAGTAGACAAAAGAATTCCCCATTGATCTCTTCTCTTCAATGACTTTTTCTTTCGTCTATTCTCCTCATTCTTTTTTTTTGGATGAATAAAAATACTAACTCAAACATATACAACTTAGAAGAAGAAGAGAGAATATTGAGAAAGATATGTAAAAAGAGAAAGAAATGACATATGTAAAAAATAATTGCTATTTGGGGTAACAACCATCATAAGTGGGTAAGAAAAATGAGTAAAAAGAGGGTGGCCTAATTGTGGAAATCTGAAGGGTAAATTTGGGTCTTAGAAAGAAATAAAATGGTATGGTTAGATAAGATATAAGGACTGAATAATGTATAGTGGATAGGAAATGTATGGGTCTCATTTTGTACCTAAGATTTAATGTCCTTCCATTATTCCTAAAAAGGAAAATTCCAATCAATAAGAATCCATACACCAAGTAGAATCAACTGACATAGGGTAGGGGGTCTAAATTTTCTATCACTCAATTCTCTCTAGCCCACACCAATAGTACTTCAATCTTTTGATTTCTCATATTCTTTTAATGCTAATTGGATATCCCACTCTTAAGAAGTCATCTATTATATAAAAATCCTCATAGTTGATCTAGGTCCTATGGTTGTGCCATTCTAAGTTGATCCAAATCCACTACAATAGCCTAACTTCTATGCCCTAAATTCCAAGATTTCTAAGTGAATAGACTCATTAAGGTAGGTTTGATAACTCTTGAAAATATTTTTATGAGTAGATACTTGATAAGTTTTCATTATCATGAGTTAATAATTAGTAAATAATCTAGTTTTAGTTTTAACTCATGATAAATAGACTTATATTTGTCTTAAAGTGTGAGAAGTGGTTTTCAGTTGATTAACATGAATTTTTGGGTAATTATGTGATTTTATACGAATTTATATGATTTTTATAGTCTTACTTTTGAGATAAATGAAGAAAAAGAAATAAAAATAAAAATATAGCAAAAATGGGGGGGACTCCCCAGCCAACCAGGCCTGCAAGGGGGTCAGAAGTACAGTCAGGCAAGAGCCGCAAGCAGGGGCTCGAGTGGCTAGGACCGATAGGGGCACGTGTGCACCACTCACCTTCCACGTCACTGGTGGCTAGTTGGCTGTGGGGCAAAGAGTGGTCGTACACACGCAAGAAAGGGACTTGATTGGAAATATAATATTAGTATATATTCGCTCGAAACTTCAGCACACAAGTGATATGGGACTAAACCCACATCACACCTTCTCAAGAAAGGTGGGCAACTGGCGCAAGTTTGAATTCTCCTAGAGTCAAAACTCATATTTTTATCTGATTATCACGACTTTCCTGCAGATCGCCGGTGAAGGATTAAGCTACCAAAATCGCTAGATTATCGGCAAAAATCTTGTCAATGCGATTCATGGAGCATTGTTACTAAAATTGATGAACAATTCGCAATAAAAGGATCGCAAATCCATCGAGTAAAGTATCTCTGATTGATCAACGAACAAGCCATCGTCAGGAAGAGGACGATTCACCAGGAGATGAGTCACCACCTCCTGAGAGAGTATCGGATGTGATGAAGAGCCTCCTCTTGCTGCGCGGACCTGAGGATGAAGCTCTCTGACATGCACCCCACCTGCATCCAACTCTTCTTTGTCGGGTGACAGCCGCCGAAGAGCCGCAAAGTCGCCCTTTTTCCACTCTGTCAGGTGACAGCTGCTGGAGATGATTCGACAACCTATTTTATTGATCTCTAAACTTCGCAAAGAGATCTAGAAATTGTCCACGTTGTCCTTATCTAAGAAGAGCCTTCGAGGTTATGGACATTACACAATGATCCTCCTGACCGTTCAAGATTCTAGTGCATCGTTAACACATCACCGCCAAGACGCTAGAACTCTGTGTTTCTACTTTCAACTTAATTTTCACTTCATTTAGTGATAATTTGTGTGATTTAAATTTACCAAGATATACTTCATTCCATTACGATTCTTTCGGCTTTTACAGATCTTAATTTGATCAATTAAATCATCTATAATTACTTACGTAAGAATCACCGGGTGGAACTCTGTTTCCGCCCGATTTACGTTTGTCGGGTGCTGACGTCATCCTGACGTCCGCCTGATTTCCCTTTTTAATGAATTTTAAATATATTTCATTTTCATTTCTTAGTGTAAAATTCATAGAAAATAGTATTCTTTGAGAAAAATTCTGAATAATTACCTGATATTATATTACATCCTTGTGATCAATCTGGAAAATTATCACTATTTTTGAAAGTTTTATTGAATTATAATTGATATATTTCTTCATAAATACTTCTAAATATTCAAAAAATCATATTTTCTACTTTTATAAATTTTAAATTTGCGTGATTTACTATATAACGACTAAGTCACATCAATACCCTCCACTTAGTAAAAAATAATATACATCAGCCACATGTAAAATTTGAAATTTTTTTTAAAAGAGATGTAAATGACTCATACCCCCCACTTCATCTATGCATGGTCCTTAATACATGTGGAAAGAATTAACATAAGTAAAATTTTGCAAACTGAAGGTAGATGTTTCCTTTGCAATCATGGAGGTAGCTCTTTGTGGATTTCTATGATTATCTCTCTCAGCAGTTCAAGATCATAAAGATTTCAAGGCCCTCCTACATAGAAAAGAAAACACAAACACAAACACAAACACAAACACAAACACAAAACAGAGCACACACGAAAGAAAAATACTAAAATAGAAATTAAAAAGAGAGTAACTATTAAGCTTGTGCAGTGGAGTTAAGAGAATCATTAGTTCCATAGGATTAGTGGAGAAAGTGAATCATTTTCTAGATAAGGTTTCAATCTTTGTCCGTTCATTTTTATTTGTTGCCTTGTTTTTGGATCCTCAATTAAAATAACATCATATTCAAAGACTTTAATAATAGTCAATAGACCATCCCATCTAGATTTTAACTTACTAAGAAAGAGTTTGAATCTCAAATTATAAAATTATACTTTTTCATTTTCTTTGAATTCTTTTCTTCTTAATCGTTTGTCATTAAATACTTTCATTTTAGCTTTATAAATCTTAGAATTCTCATATGCCTTATTTCAAATCTCATTTAATTCATGTAATTCAAGTAATCGTTTCTTTCCAACATCATCAATAGATAAATTCAATCTTTTAATTGCCCAATATGCTCTATGCTTTAGCTCTACAAGAAGATGACATGTATTACTCAAAATTAATCTATATGGTGACATACCTAAAAGAGTTTTATATGCAGTGCTATATGTCCATAGAACATCATATAATTTCTTAGACCAATTCTTTCCATTAAGTCTATAGATATTTGTAGAATTTTTTTAATCTCTCTATTACACACTTCTATTTGTCCATTGGCTTGTGAATGATAAGGTGTAATTATCCTATGATGAACTTCATATCTTTTCAATAGGGTCTTAAATTGATAGTTGTTAAAATGTGATCCTCTATCACTAATGATGGCACTAAGACACTCAAATCTTGAGAAAATATGCCGCTTAATAAATTTAACTATCATTTTTTCATCACTAGTTCTAGTAGGAATTGCTTTTACCCAACAAGACACATAATATACTACCATCAAAATGTATTCATATCCCTCTAACTTTGAGAAATGTCTCATGAAATCAATTCCCCATAAATCAAATATCTCTACTTCTAAAATTGACTTAAGGGGTATATGATCCTTCTTATTTAAATTAATGGCCGCTTGACATTTTAAACACCCTAAACAAAAATCATAAAAATCTCTAAATAAAGTTGGCTAATAAAACCCGCATTGTAAGATCCTCAAAATCTAATCAACTCCTAAATAAAATAATTCAGGTTCTTCCCAATAATAATGTGATCATATTTGAAGATTTTTTTTCTCTCATTATAGTTTCAATCTAAAGGCAACATTGCTATAACAAGATAATTCACTATATTTGCATACCAAGGAATTTTCCTAACTTGAACTCCTAAAATATGTTTATCGGGAAAGAAATCACTAATGCTTGTGAGTCCACTATAATCATCCTTGATAAATGATCAGCCATTACGTTTTCACTTCCCTTCCTATCTTTTATCTCAATATCAAGTTCTTGTAACAAAAGTATCCTCCTAATAAGCCTAAGTTTAGCTTCTTTCTTTTTAAGTAAAAACTTTAAAGTTGCATGATTAGAAAAAATAACAATCTTACTACCTAATAAATAAGACCTAATTTTGTCTGAAGTAAAAACAATGGCTAGTAATTCTTTTTTAGTAGTTCAATAATTCACCTGAG